AATGATTATAATAAGAAAACTAAAATTAATTGAATAACAAAAATTGAGGGATTAAATAAAGAAATGAGCTAGAAAAGAGAAAGAAATTTTTTTTTTGGCATATGAGTTGTGCAATTAATTAAATTGTGTTACAAATTATTTTTTAACTATATTAATTTGAAAAATACTTTTATTCACTTTGATCATTTGAAAAAAAAAGTGTTGAGAAAAAACATATTAATAACTCTAAATGACAATATTAGCAAGTGATAAGAGGTGGGTTAGACACACTTATGTAGTTTTTTATAGAATTTTAATATATAAAGAGAAAGTATGAACTCTTTTATGCACTGAAATATTATTTTTAAATATTTTTTTATAAAATTTTAATTTTTTTAGATTTATATTTAATTTTTTTTATTTTTAAATTATTTTAAGGAGTTAATATTAAAAATAATTTTTTAAAAAATATATTATTTTAATATTTTCTATATTTCTAACTACTCCACTCTAAATAAAAAAACAGCATAAACAACATAAACATGGAAATAAAGAAAGAAGACAATAAAGGCTGTTCTGGCAGTCTAGGTAGCTAGCTCCTAGAAGACAGGAAAAAAGAAAAGAAAAGAAAAGAAGGGGGAAATAAACATGGAAATAAAGAAAGAAGACAATAAAGGCTGTTCTGAAAGTAAAGGCTGTGCTGGCTGGCTGGCTAGCTCGTAGAAGATAGGAAAATAAAGAAGAAGAAATAAAGAAAAACAGGGCTTGCTGTAAATCATAAAAATCCAACCTGGAGTCAAGTCAAGCCACAGAAAGCCAGCAACCAAATTAGAAAGGGCAGTTGAGGCTTGGCCCCACTCCCCCTCGTAAACCTGGAAGGCACCAAGATGGACCCCATCTCCCCGCGTCTTTTATATTAAGAAATTGTTTAGAAGGGTAACGTGGTTGGTTTTTTAAATAATTTTTTATATTAAAATATATATTAATAATAATTTTTTATTTTTTAAAAATTATTTTTTATATTAGTATAATAAAATAATTTAAAAATACTAAAAATATATTAATTGAAAATAAATAAATAAAAATATTTTTTTAAAACGCAAAATAAACAGTCACTTACAGCTTCCACACGCCCTGTTCCAAGCATCCAATGTCTTGACAACTGTCCTATTCTATTTTATCCTATTTCCTATTCCCTCCTCTTCCTCTACCACCCTAAACCATATATATATATATATATATATATGTCCCTTGTTGTTTGCCCTATTTCTATTTCTACTAGCATGTCTAAAAGACCTAGAGTCCCTCATTCTTCTTCCACGTCTCCAGCGACTTTAAACCCAACTGGTAACATAAAAGAACAACAAAAACCCAATCTTGCGTGCACGAAAACGTTCTTTTATTCTTTTTAACCCAACCAAACGATACTTAGTTTGCTGATAATCATGGGTGTCAAGGGTTTTGTTGAAGGAGGTATCGCTTCAATTGTTGCTGGGTGCTCCACTCACCCTTTGGATCTTATCAAGGTCCGTATGCAACTCCAAGGCGAAAATTTACCAAACCTACAAGTTCACAGTCTCCGCCCTGCTTATGCGTTCAACTCCGCCGCAATCCCTCATAATTCCGTCCACATCCCTCCACCACCACTACCGCGTGTGGGGCCAATTTCTGCCGGCGTCCGCATCTTCCAGTCCGAAGGTGTCGCCGCTCTCTTCTCCGGCGTCTCCGCCACGGTCCTCCGCCAGACTCTCTACTCCACCACGCGCATGGGACTCTATGATATTCTGAAGCAAAAATGGACCAATCAGGAGACAGGAAACATGCCTTTGTTGAGCAAAATAACAGCCGGTTTAATCGCCGGAGGGATCGGAGCTGCTGTTGGTAATCCAGCTGATGTGGCAATGGTTAGAATGCAAGCAGACGGGCGTTTACCTTCGTCCCAACGGCGGAACTATAACAGTGTGATTGACGCTATTACGAGAATGTCGAGGCAGGAAGGTGTTGCTAGCCTGTGGCGAGGGTCATCTCTTACGGTAAACCGCGCGATGATTGTTACAGCATCGCAATTGGCATCGTATGATCAGATTAAGGAAATGATTTTGGAGAATGGAATGATGAAGGATGGGTTAGGGACTCATGTGACGGCGAGTTTTGCAGCGGGTTTTGTGGCGGCGGTGGCTTCGAACCCGGTAGACGTGATTAAAACCAGGGTCATGAATATGAAAGTGGAGCCAGGGAAAATTGCGCCTTACAGTGGAGCAATTGATTGTGCAATGAAGACAGTGAAAGCTGAAGGTATCATGGCCCTTTACAAGGGCTTTATACCTACAATTTCAAGACAGGGTCCTTTTACTGTGGTTTTGTTTGTGACCCTTGAGCAGGTTCGGGAGTTGCTCAAAGATTTCTAATTGACGATGATGACGGCGAAAAGCATATTATAATTGGGTTGATGGTATAATTACTAGTATCATAGGAACAAATTTTATCTGATGTGCTATTTTTTTTTTATTATTATTAGATATGTTTTTCTTAATCTTTCATTTCACATAATGATGAATCGGGTAATAATTTTATTCTTGAAAAATTTTAATCATCTTAGATTTTTTTTCCCCCTATTATTCTTGTTCATGAGAAGAATCATTGAAAATGGTGAGTAAAATTAATTTTTATTTTATGGCATTCTAGTTAATGTTTAGTTGTATAATAAAAATTATTTTTTATACATTAAAAAAATAATATTTTTTTATTTTTTAAAATTTATTTTTAATATTAACATACTAAAAAAATTAAAAAAATTTAAAGCTAAGATAAATTTTTTTTTATAAAAAAATATAGTTTAATAACAATGTCAGAAACATGAACCGGTTGGGTTGGATAAAAATTAAAATGTTTTCGATTAGGATGTTTTTCTTTTGTCTTGACTTTGTACTTTGAAATACAATACACAAACCATAATCTGAAGGTGATGTTTTAAGGTGAGTTTGTTTTTTGTTTCAATTTATTTTTTATTTAAAAAAATAATAAATTAGTTTTTTAATAATTTTGATGTGTTTTTGTTAAAAAAATCTTTAAAATATTATTTTAATATATTTAAAATTAAAAAATATTTTTTATAAAAAATCTTGACTGCACTATCATCTGTACTTTTAAAAAAATATATAATTAAAATATTGTTGTTGCTAGCACCATTCTTCCCAAAAAAATTGGATATAATATAAGGTTTTAATAGTTTATGTTTTGATATAAATTATAAGAACATATAAACTATAAAGTGTGTGGCTTTTATATAGACATTGTTACTATTTACTCTCTTATATTTAATTATTGAATGTAATAATATAATTTTTAAAAACATTCAATTTGATTATTGATCTTATATATTGCATAAATAAGCTATTTTGAGCTTAAATTAGAATTTAATTGCATGTTTTTTTTATTATAAAAGTTTAATACAAAGACAAGAGACTGAAGTTACTCGCGCATATAAAATAAATGGTCCTTCAAAATTTTCTTTGAAAGTTCATTTGTATCCCTTATTTTTGAAAGTTATTAGTTGATCAGTTCTTATAAATTTTAAAAATGAAATTTTGGTATAAAATTTAATTTTTTTTAATTTTTAATTCTTTTTTGGTGGAGAAAAGAGGATGGGTTGTCAAATTTTGACTTAAAGAGAGAAAATTGTTGGTGGGGAAAATTTAGACCATCAAAACGATTGGTTTTTATGTTAAATAGTTCTACATGATAAGGGAGTTTCTATTGGTTTTTTTTTATTTAAATCTTCAAAACATATTGAGCTCGGAAATATATATGGTTTCGTATTGATTTTGGGTTTTGGACGTGTTTTCGTATATTTAGAGGTTATAGGTTGGTTTAACAAGGTTCCTAAGATGTTGTATAGATGTTTTAAATAAAAAATATTTTAAAAATAAATTTTTGGGTGAAAAAAAACCTTATTTTTCCTACCAAATCAATTGATGGATTTCAAGATTAATTGATGATAAATTGTCTATATTTTTTTCTGCAACTAATTGGGTGGACGATGCTTCATCCACCTCATTGAACTTTTGAAAAAACAGAAAGCTTGCACACAAGGGTTTTTTATATTGGGCCAATTAATTGCTTAGCCTCATTTTCATTTTCTTTTTTTTCAATTTTTTTTATATTAATAGCTTTTTTGTGTCTGTTTTTATTAAATAATTTTGAAATTTATGTTTTAATTAATACCATTTTTTATGATTTTTTAGTTTTATTTTTATTTTCATTGAATAACTATAACTTTTTAATTATATTTGGTTTGTTTAAATTTTTCTAGAGTTAGTATGATTCATCTTTAATTTTTGTATATCTTATATATATTAAATATTGTTTTTACAATATTTTTACTAAGTGGAACTTTGAATAATATTTTTTTTCTTTTATTTTATTCAATAAATTTTATGTATGTCAATCTTTAGTATAAATTGATTTTCGTAAACAAATTCATTAAACACAACATGGTAAATGATTCATTTTAAGATATTAAATATCTTGATTTATATGAGTATCTTAACTTTTTTAGTTATTTTTTTATTATTGATTATTTTTTTTCATTTATTTACACAATGATTTGTGATTTATTTAATTAAATGTGAGTATAAGAATTTTTTTTAATTTGCATTTATGATTTTTTTAGCTATAAAAATATATTGAAAAATTCTACTCATGTGTTGATTTTTTTAATTTGATCTTTATTTTTATAATTTTTTTTCTTAAATTTTTTATAATTTTTTTTTATTTTTAATTTTACATTTCAATCCAAGTTGATAATATATATATATATATATATATATATATATATATATATATTTTAATTTTAATCCTTATTTGTCAGTTATATATATACACACACACTGAGCATACATGCCATTCTGTCTAGCATAAGATTATGGTTGTCCACCTCTTCGTTTATATCTCCTACAGTTGCATGATTAACTTATATTAACATATGTTGGGATATTTTACTAAAGTAAGAAGTGTAATTCATGTGCATATGAATTTATGTGAATTCTACCAGCAGGACACTATTTCTGTCTTTAATTTTAATTCCAGATGCTGGGTAAGCTTTCAACAGCTAGCAATTTAAAATTTGAACTGAATATATATATATATTGTGTGTGTGTGTCTGTTTCCCATTTGCTATAATTGACTTTCTTTTTTTCCCATAAGATTCAAATATATCTGGTCAGTACTTAAAAATATATTTTTATCAAGGTTTTATGTTATCATTTTACACTTGAAGTATCAATAACTCTTTAACTAAAGCATGTTTTATAATAATATATCTAATAATATAAGATACCTTTAATTTATGGTAAATATTCATTTTAAATGCAGGCCTATCACATAAATAAAAGGATTGATTGATGAATTTAAGAACTGAAATTGAAAGGATAAAGAGATGACCAAATTTAGAAAATAGATAGCTAAACTTCGAAAAGAGATGCCGGTACAGTCCAATCTGGAACACTGTTCGGTAATTCGATCATATTTGTAGCTGTAGATCTCATATTTAGGTCTACTTTATATAGATGGAAAGGTAAGACATATGCCTACAACTTTTATATGGAGCTCAAGATCTAAAAATATCATTTTCAAGTCCAAATTGGAGCAACAAAAAAGAAGTTCGAATCTGTCTTCTAGCCCGAGCACTGTTCAGTATTTGACCCATATCTGAAGTTCTAGAATTTCAAATGATCTGAAGTTTTTACACAAGAAATATGAGATAATTTTCTACAACTTTCATGTTTTTTAAGTGGTTTTAATTTTGACGTTATCAATGACGTTTTGGGCAGATAAGAGAAGATAAGGATTGTCACTAAATCAAGAGTTGGTCACCTACTTATCAATTAGTCATCAAATCAATAATTTCCAATTTTGGCCTGTAAAAGGAGGCATTTGCCATGCATTTAGGTATCTTAGTTTCTAGATCAATATCATGCTCTTGCTTTCTCTCTTTGTATTTTTTGTAATGTTTATACTTTGCTTTCATTAATATCAAGTTTATGCCTTTCATTTCCTTTCATTTACTTAGTTAACTTTTATCTAATTTATATTTATATTTTATTTATTTATTTTTGTTTTTTTATTATGTTTAGTTATGTTTATTATGTCAAGGTGAAAAGGTTACACTAATAGTGTAAGAATAAGTATAGTATAAACTTAATATGGACTTTAATGTTTGATACTAACATGTTTTGTATTTGTTATCTTGTTCACTCTTTAATGCTTTACTTGTTAAATGAATAATCTAGATTTATGTTGTATGATACTTGGTACAACAAATACTTGGCACTCTCATAGCCTATACTATATGGTATAATCAACACTTGAGCTATGAAAAGAACTTGATTTGTTGTTAATATAAGTTATAATCATGAATGCCTGACGAGATTTACAAGTATTAGCATTAATCGAATAAGATGACTATCGAGATTATCAAGTATAAGTTGTAATCATGTTAACAATTTATAATATGATTGGAACCTCCTTTATATGTGGTTTCCAATTGAATAATAAGAGTTTATACTATACTTATTTGATATACCATTAGTGGAACCTCTAACCTTGACATTTGTTATTATTATTGTTTAATCCTTACATTAATATTTCATCTCAAAGTTCTCATCTTCTTCTTCTTCTTCTTCTTTTTCTTTATTACTACTACTACTACTACTACTACTATTATTATTGTTATTATTGTTATTATATTATTGTCATCTATAATTTATACATTTAACCTCCCTATGGTTCGACCTCGGTCTTGTCGGGTTATTTATTACTTTGACACTCCTGCACTTGGGAGAAGACATCAATCTTTTAGTCGTGTCAAGTTTTTTGGCGTCATTGCTGGGAAAGTAAGTTCTTATACAAATTATAGTATTTATTTTATTTTCTCTTTTCACTTTTCTTGTATATAACTTTGTTTTTTGACTCGTGTTTCTTCTTCTTTTGTTTTCTTCTTTCTTTTATTCTATTCCTACACGTGTATGAGAGTGTGGTCACGTACACCAAATGGTATACTTTATAGGGTATCCTCATCATTTTCAGAAAATATGGTCGAAGAAGATAATCAATCACTTCATAATGAGAATAGCCGTGTTAGAACACTTAGAGACCACATGAATCCCACAAGAACAAGTGCACCATCATGTATAGTTTTTACTCCCGATGCATCTCATTTTAATTTTAAGCCAAGCATTATTCAACTTTTACCTTCCTTTCATGGCTTAGATTTAAAGAATCCATACTTGCATTTAAGGGAATTTGAAGAGGTTTGTAACACCTATAATAACTCAAATTATAGCATATGCATCTCATTTTAATTTTAAACCAGGTATTATTCAACTTTTACCTTCTTTTCATGGTTTAGAATTGGAAAATCCATACTTGCATTTAAGGGAATTTGAGGAGGTCTGCAACACATATAATAATTTAAATTGTAGCATGAACACCATCAGATTAAAGCTTTTTCCTTTTTCATTAAAAGATAAAGCTAAAACA